TCCACCAAAATCCCATGTGCGAAATGTAATGGGACCAAATGTTGGTTCACCTTTAAAAGTTATCAGTTGAATTCAAGCGCTCCAGGAATTTAAGTTTGGTAAGTGAGGTGACTAATATTTAAATTATCGAGAGTGCCTGGACAATGAGTGTATTATTATTGGGCTGTAGCCACATGCCGGGCGCAGCTATGCCGAGCCCTTCCGCCTTGAGCTGTGTATCTTCGTTCAATACCCACCGCCTCAAACGTGTGTGCCAATTTCTTTTTTTTAAGTAAAAGCTTTGGTGTCAAAAAGCGTCTCATTTCAAAAAGTCAGTAAAAATATCGAAATGATAAGTATTGGTAGAAAACAATTCCATATTTTTAATAAATTTTCTATTCAGAAGCACAAATCATGCCGAAAAGATACATACTTCTCTTACCCTCGCTTCAGCCAATTTTTTAGGATCAATTGTGCGAGTTCATTTTGCCAGGGTTCGACAAGTTGATATGCACTTCAAAGCGAAGAAAAACCGGAACACAGAATATACAAAAAAAAGGTGGTAGATGCCAAAAAGACAGAGATATTGCATAAAACCCTATGGATAAGCACAAGCACCGTAATGGTCATATATATTCAAACCTTTTGTTTTCTTTGGTTCAAAAGTCCACTCGGCAATGTCAACACCAACTGTAGACATGTTTGCACCTTTTGCTGTACGATCAGCGCTACCCGTACTGTGTCCCATTCTCTTCGACCAACTCTACAGTTACAAAAAAAGAAATCTTCAAAAACGATCTAAATCAGCACATAATTATACTACAAAATCTACAATATGCAGGCAGAAGGATACGCCTGATTGTGATCAGGAACACGGCTAGGAATGTTTCTTGCTCGGTCATTTCAAAGAACAGGAGCAATGATTGCTACTGAGAATACTGAATTGGATAAATTTATTTCTTTGAGACGCATCAATAAAGTGCTGCAATTGCAATCTCGAGAAAAGTGTGTCATTAAGGCAGTGTATGCCAGCAAAAAATGCCAGGCTAGTCATGCGAGAAAAAAAAATAACAGGCATTTTAGAGATGATATAAAAAACAAAAATATATTAAAATATAAAAAATGGAAAGAGTGGTTTATAGCAGAGGATCCATCCAATGCCAAAAGAAACCAAAGACCGTCAGCGCAGTGGAAATGCCTGTATGGAATTATATAGATGGGAAGGATTGTAACCAGTGACGAATGGAAAAGGAGAAAAAAAAAATACGCTTAAAAACTGATCAGTGTACCAGAATTTGCACTGTAATGACGGTAGCGTGATATGGATAGATCTTGATGTAGAAAAAATAAGTGTTACGGGTTAAATTTCTTTTCAATGTAATTCGTTTTAATGAAGAATATCTCTGGCACAGCAAACTATTTATTAAACTTCTGCCAAGAAATGATAAGAATTATAACTTTATTCGCGAACTGTGGTAAAGCAATGGTAATGATAAAATGCTTGTCGCAGTAATGTTGAAGAATGCTTTTAGAATAAGCCACACATGATTTTGCTCGTACATGAGTAGGGAACATCCCCTTAAAGTTTCAGCTTTCTAGCTTTTCCCGTCTCGGGTTAGTAATTTTCGCGCCAAAATTTCCACACGCTCGTATGTGGGCTCGGGCGCTTCTAAAGTCACACTGAAACTTACATCGTTCGGTGGCGTCCTTTTGCCCACAGTGCCTTCCAGTCGTATTTGTTGCAGTAG